GTGGCACACTCTGAAAGCCCAGAGAGCCAGAGGCAGGACACGGTTTTTTTAAAGCCACTTTCAAGTACATTACAGTAAAATAGATAAAAAACCAAACACAAATAGAAAATAAGTTAGAGATAGCCCACCATGGCTTTAACAGACAGAAACCGGGAAAGGAGAAATTAGTGAAACCTAAACAACTCAGGTGACAAAAGAAACCAGCTGACAACCTAGAACCTCACGCCCAGGGAAAACAGCCTCTAGTGTTTAAAAAGAAACTAACAGGCCGGGTGATGGGAGTGCACAGTTTAACCCCAGCACTGGGGAGGCAGAGGCAGGTGGATCTCTGTGAGTTTGAGGCCAGCCTGGTCTACAGAGCTAGTTTTAGGACAGCCAGAGCTACACAGTGAAACCCTGTCTCTGAATAGATAGATAGATAGATAGATAGATAGATAGATAGATAGATAGATAGATAGATAGATAAAACAAATTTTTTTTTAAAAAAAGAAGTTAATACAGATTCAGGAACTTTTACAAGCACAAAAACCAGAAGATGTTCTTTGTGGAAAAGCAAACACAGTTGAAGACGACAGATTACGGCAGTGCAGGGCAGAGATTCAACATAACAATGTCTGTCAGGAGCTAAAGAACAGGGAAGTGTCTTAGCAGCACATACAGGCCAGCAGAGGAGTCAAATGGAATGAGGATTAACACGTTCAAAGGTCCTTGCAATACTATGGGAAAAGACAGAAGTGCCAACTAACACTAGACATTGAGAACTTGTGATTCGGCATTGTTGTTCTAGAGCCACCTGCAAAGAACAGTCAAGGGATTTACAACTTCCAGCACAGTGGAGGAAAGCACAATATTCAATTGCTGCAAAAACAGCGAAAAAGAATAAAAAGCACAAAAAAACACACACAATAAATGACATTTAAAACTAGGAGAGCAGAGGCAGGAGGATTGGCATATATGTGAAAACCCCATCACAAGCAAAGAAAAAATAAATAAATGAATAAATAAATAATCAATAAGATGGGAATTTAAAGACAGGAGTGGTGGCTTATGCTTGTGGCCCAGCTACTCCAGAGACTGAGGCAAGAGGATCATAAGTTTGAGGCCAGCTTTGACAACTTAGAAAGACTTTGTCTCAAAGTAAATAAAAGGGGTTAGGGATGTAGCTCGATGGTAGAGCACCTGCCTAACATGTGAAGGCTCTGGGTATAATTCCCAGTGCCAAGAGGAAGAGCACATTAGGCTTAAGTCTGGGAAGGTTGACTATTACATTAAATGTAAAAGAACTAAGCGCTTTAATTAAAAGTCAGTGATAGAAATGACTAAAACTTTATGCACGGTTCATAAAAAGGTCTTAAACTTTGTATTAAAATGAAATTTTAGAGTGGTAATACAAATGCTAATAAAATTATAATAAAGTTAAATAGGACTTACAGTACTATGTGACAAAGACTTTTAGACTAAAAACAATATGGAGATAAAGAGGAATACATGATTGTAAAAAGTTTGACTCCTAATGGCCATAAAATTTGCACATACCATATAATACAGCTTCAAATGTATAAATATGACTCTGGAGGGGGTAGATAAATGAGCAGGGATCTATGTGCATTATTTGAACAGGCTTAGCAAACTTTATTCTGTGAACCCAACAATTACAGGATTCATGTTTTCCTAATATTTAGGGCCTCGCCACCTTGCAAGGAAACAATAGCCCTGAAATGTCCTACCTCTTTTTCTGTACACACAGGACTTTCTTTGGCTACTGAAATGTGAGAAGTGACTTCCAGTGTATTGGCAAGCATCTCTCCTCTCCTTCCCGAAAACATAGTTTTCGAGCTTCTTCAGTCCAAGTACTTGACACGGAGCATGCTTCCCAGCTGTAACACCTGCTTCTGCGTTACTCTCGGTACAGTTCACTCGCACGCCACTGTACCTTACGCCAGCTTCAGCGGGGCAAGGGCCTGGAGACTGGAAGAACACACAAGAGACCTGGGTCATTCCTAAGGAGATCAGCCCAAGGCCCTTTATTCAACCTTGGGGAAATCCTTATATACCTAGCTGCTGCACAAGGAATTTCCCCCCAGGTAGGTGGGAAATTTCCACACCCAAAATGGAGTAAACAACACCCTATAGCTAATCACCAGGCAGGGCAGAAGAAGTATAAAAACAAACAGGAAATGCTGGCTGGCTAGAGACTGTCCTCAAAATGAACCCCTGGAGCAGGGGTAGACCCATGGGCCCTACACCCAGCCAACTGCAAATGGATGTGTCGCTATTAGTGAGCATGTTAGGCAGAGGCAGTGTGAGCTAAAGGAACGCTATCAATGGAATGCATGAACACGCACGTGTGTGTGTGTGTGTGTGTGTGTGTGTGTGTGTATCTGATGAAATGGGAGTTTACTAGATTTGGTTTATATGATAGGCCTGTGTGGTCCAATAATGGCCATCTGCGTGCTGGGGCACACAGAGACCCTCATAGCTGCCCAGTCCGTGAAGCTGGATGATTTAACAGTCTCAGTCCAACACTGAAGTCCCTGGAGAGTTGCTGATGGTCAGTCTTCATTGGGAGGCCAGAGAAGCGGGAGTCTATGGGCGGAGGTCGGCATAGCACCCCTAAATGAACCTTCTCAGGAAGTAGTGAAGGTGGCAGCTGACTCCACTTCCTCCTTCCACCTCCTCATATCCGGGCTGCCAGGGAGATGTGGTACCCTACTGAAGGAAGGTCTTCCCAGCCCTGAGTGAATTCTCTCTGAAAACACCTTCACAGATACACCTAGAGATATGTTTACATCCTGATTCCAAGGATCTCAAGCTGACAACCAAGTTTCCCCAGTCTTTGTTACCTCCAGTCACTAGGAGAGTATTTAATTTATAACCAGAGCATATTCAGGTCTTCCCTAAGTGAGAGACGGTATGGGAGCGGTGCTTTTCCTGGGTAAGGAGGTAAGCTGGTTTGGAAAAGGGAAAGCAGACCCCAGGAAGAGCTTAGGAAGTTTGTTGCAAGTGATATTTATTTATTTATTTATTTATTTATTTATTTATTTATTTATGTTTTGTTTTGTTTGAGACAGGGTCCCTCTACATAGCCCTGGCTATCCTGGAACTCACAGGCTTTGTAGACCAGGTTGGCCTCGAACTCACAAAGATCTGCCTGCCTCTGCCTCCCGAGTACTGGGGTTAAAGGTGTGCTTCACCACTGCCTGGCCATGGTTGCAGGTGAGATACCTGAATGTTAGCAGGGATGGAGAGAGTGTGTTTTGAGAATCTAATCCAGGGAGAGAGGAGGATTAGGTAGAAAGCCACCACCAGAGACTCAGCTAGTTTGGCTTGGTTCTCATGCCCTCTAGAGGTAGCTGTGATTTGGTGAGAATTTCTCCCCGGTCACGTGCCCATATGAAAAGCTCGGTCAGTGTCTTGTCACAGCAACAAGAAACCAAACACGACAGTCTCTTTCTTTCTCTTAACTGTCTAGAAGTCCCTTTCCTGAGGTTTCTCCATGATTTTTTTTCCCCCAGATTCTTGGAGCTCTTTGAAGCTTTATTCTTGGTTTAGATTTCATGCCCCGAGGGCCTGCTGCCTTCGCCCGTTTCGCCAGGAACAAAGCTGGCTCCCAGGGTCAATGTCCACAGGGCATTCTTGCCTCGCTAAATACCCGCTGTGCTCGCGCTTCAACAGCTGAATTCCCGCGGCTCGTTTGAGTAATTATTAACCTGCTTCGTTGCTCAGTGTCCTGAAAGTAGCCATGGCGAGGAAGTCAGCATAGAGCAAGCTGGATTTCGCTCACTGTGTTTATATCTGGTGCCCAAAGGCCTGAGAGAGGGCAGATGCTCAGTGCATGGGTCATGACCCTGTTGCTCGCAGGCAGCAGTAGCCAGATTGGTGAGCAGCAATCTTCATGAATTTTTTGCCATGTTTTTTGAAGCAACTCTAAAAAATGCCCCCCTGAACGTTGAAATCAATAGGTCAAGGGACATCTATATCGATCGCTTCGAGGCTCAAGGAACGTGGCAGAAGAGGAAGCAGAAAGAAGGGAAGAGCCAGAAGACAGGGAGGGGCGCTGCAGAATGAATTCTTTCCACTCTGACATGGACATCACACTCACGAAACGGCAGCAGTTGTCGTTAACTGTATCAGACCTGCGCAAGACTCTGCCCGACAGTGTTCTGACATACACGGGGAGGGGCCCAAGAACCCCCACCTTCCCCTGAGGAACTATCGGTAGTTCCTGTTTACCAGAGGAGGGCAGACAGCGTCTTCAGTGGTCTGGCTATCGGTAAATTGCTCACGGTCTCATAATCTCTCACCCACGTCCATGTAACTAACCGTAAGTAACTTAGTCGTGAACGCAATAGACCCATCTTAAAGACTAAGGCAGGGAGCAATACAAGAAGACAGCTGGCATGCCCATAAAACAGGTGTGCGCATATCACACACACGCACACACACACACACGCACACACACACAAACACACAGGGATATTTTTTTTCTAATATTACCTTGAATTGCTTCTGCAGTTCTAGCAATCAATAATGAACCAATAGGGGAAGTGGTTGTTCAATGAGGAAATGCTTAATTTATCATTAAAGAAAGTTGTTTTAAATCATCAAAGGAAACGTCTGGATCATTAGGAAACCTGGAGATTTTCTTTTCTTTTTCATTTTGGGCAAAGACACCTTCCTTAGATTTGCAAGGGTGATGTGACTTCTCAACTATTATACAAAAGGGGAAGAATTATTATCGGCACAGACACATTCCCTGGCAAAGTAACTTTTGATGGACCTGGGAAAGGATTCTAAAAACTCATTTTGGAGATAGCCGGTACATGATTGCCCTGGTGTAATGGCACACAGGAGCCTGAAGAGGGCAGCGTTGGACAAGGAGTTGAGTGCTACCTCTGGCTCTTCCTAAAGAAACTGGGCACTTGAGCTCTGACGGGTTGGGAAGACCAGCCTGGGCAGCTCGACCCAGCTTGCTCTAATGTTTGCACAGTGAATCACTCACAGGGAAATGTCTCCAAGGACAAGGGAGAGCAGAGATTCCATCCTGTACCTAGACTCAGCCTGGGACAGTTAACACACAAAAAAGCTATTGTCTCCTCTTCAAGACCTGAATTTGGGGATGAAATTGGAGGCTGAATGAACGGGTCTGATTCACCCCTGAGGCTCTAGTTCCTTCGTTCTCTGGGGGAAAGGGTGGCAAAATCTTAACCAGTTCTACTTGAGAAGGCAGCAGAGCAAATGGTCAAAAAGCGCCAGCCCTGGAGGCAGACAGTCTGGAGCCAGCACCTCAACCTTTCTGAAGGTAAGGTTCAGCCTTTCCACATCTCAGCTTCCCTGGCTGCCACACAGAGCAAAGGGTTGGCTGCCCCGAGGATGAAAGGGGCTGGGGCAGGGGAGAGACGGCGTTCAGGGCATACAGTGAGAGCCCAGGGGACTAAGAGCCGTGACAGTGGAGACAATGAGGTTAAGGTGCACGCCACCAGGTCAAGCACGCCTGCTTCAGCTCTCCATTCCCACTCCATGGCGAAGAACGGGCGGTGAGAAATCCACCCACTTCAACGCTGTGCTCCACAAGCCTAGGAAACAGGAACTACCAGGAGAGCGAGGGAGAATTGGGTGCATGGTCACCGAGCCTAGCTTTCCCGCACTGTTTGCACAATGCCTTCTAGCCTCGGGGTCCGCCCCGGGTTGACCAGAGGGTCTCCTTGTTTGGAATAGTGTGTATGCCTATGTGGCACGACCACCAGTCTCAGAACTCACCTGCTTCACATGCAGAGGGAAGACAGTTCCCGTTGCATGCTCTGAGGGCAGCGATCAACTCGTTGAAAAAGCATGCGGAGTTGCAAAAGTTGATCAGAGCAAGACCCCCCCTCCCCATCTCATGTGGGGGAAGGGACAAGGGCAAGTTCAGAGCAGGGCATAGACACAACTTGGCCAACATACTTGTCCTTTCACCTGGCAGCTGTCCAGCCCCCAAATAGCCTGTGTGTCTAGTCCAAAAATAAATCACATCAGAGGGGAAATGAAAGAGCATGGACCAATGCCAGCCTGCCTTTCAGGGGCTGGACAGGGCAGCCTTACCTTCCTCCCGTCCCATCCCCCCCCCCCAGGCCAATAAGCCACCTGCTAAATGGCCAGTGGGGTGTATGGTTTCACCCAGCCTTTCCCTTGGAGGGGGTGTCTCCTCAGCTCCGTTCACACCTTAGAGAGAAAGGACAAGTGGCTCAACAGCCTCCAGGGGATAAAGGCCTCCTTTTCTGGGTGGACACTCCCTTCTAATGGTGAATGGAACCGCCCTTTTTCAGCAGGCTACTTGCAGCGTCCTGGGAGCCCAGTGTTATTGCAGCGGCTGTCACCACCCCAGAAAGAAAGCCCCGCCACCACAGAGACAGAGGTGAGTGCCTGCCTTCCTGCTCCTCGCCTTCCACTTGTTCCTCCCCCCTTTCCTCAACCCTTGTGCCCCCACTCCCAGATCTGGGTCAAAGATAGGCTGGAGTCTTCAAAGATTCCTGCCTCTCATTCAGAGGCGAATTCACCCCCCAGAAAAAAACTAAGGACGAGTTCTTAGCCAGGAAGCAGGAAATTATTCCTACCCCTTGAATTATCTGTGCTCAGATCCAAGAAGAGGTAACCAGGAAATTGTAAACTAGTCAAATCCCATCACCATAAAGTTAATGCTTTCTAAAAGACACAGCATGGAACAGGAAATAAAAGAAACAGCTGGTTCTCCCCTAAGGAGCAAAAAGGAAAACAAAAAAACAAAACTAAGACTTGCCAGTCTTCCGTTTCTTGCTCCTCCCTGGTGTTTCAGGGTCCTGCAAAAATATACTTAATAGATTCAATAACTCCTTACTTTAAGAAAAGGAGGAATGAAGTCAGGAGTCTGGGGAGAGTTCCTGGGTAAGCAGAGGAGGGAGAAAGAAGGGCCTTTTGCATCTTGGTGTAGTCTTCTGCAACCCTGAGGGCACCATTTGAGGATAAGCACCGGGGCCGCTATGCCCAGCACATGGGTTCTGTTACTGCAGACACAGGCCACTCTGAGCAATGGTTTGCATCTATCCATGCTAAGAAGACGTCATCAAAACCCCAACAGGAGCCACGTACTTGCATAAATCTGGATTCTGTCAATGATCACAATCTAAACCGAGAGTGAAGAGACCCAGGCAAAAAGATGGTATGTCTCCCCTCATGTTGAAAGCTGAGGCTTTGGTACAGTGGCGCTAGGTGGGAAGGTATCCTGAGTCCTTCTCTCTCCATCCTTTGCCTTTGGCTCCTGGTCAGGTTCTGTTCCCAGAAGGACTTGCCGTGATGGTGGCTGCCAGCAACTCAGTCCACATCCCACTGACATCCCGCTCCAGCTGGACTTAGGCTTGGGTCTCACAGAACCAACGTGGAAAGGCCTGCATCTATTGCTGCCTTGGAGTGGGGGTGTCATCTTCTCCAACGCCACCTGGGTTGAGAGTAACAAGGGTGACTCCCCCAAAGGCAATCAAAGTGTTCATCCCCAGAGAAGGGGGCTGGTTACAGGAGCCCAACAGTTGCCACTATGTGGCTCTTTCTGCAATGGTAACTTTGGTCTCCCTTCTCCTTTCATTCATCCGTGTTATTGATAAGAAGTTTCAGAGGAAGAATAATTATTGGTAGAACAGATCACTAAGAGATGCCTGCCTTGTCGTACCCAGAGACCCCTGGCAGTGAGGAAGGAAATAACACCAGAAAGCTGATGCTGGCTCAGGTCTAGACCAGCGCTGTGCCCTGACTACTCTAGGCTGTCACTCACTGCCTCTGCCGTACATGTTACTCTGTCCTCCACTCCCCTTGTCCCCAATCCTCTCTCCGCTCTATTGATGGAATTCATCTTGCCTGGCAACTGCTCACTTCAGAGTATTGCTTTCCTTGTGGCCTTGTCCAACCCTTCCAGACACTTTTGCCATCTCTCTTCTCTGAACCTGAATGGCATTGTCAGGACTGCTGTTTGTTTATGTATTCTTTAAGAAGTCTGAGGAGCTGGCCATGGTGGCACACGCCTTTAATCCCAGCACTTGGGAGGCAGAGACAGGCAGATCTCTGAGTTTAACGTCAGCTTGGTCTACATAGTGAGTTCCTGGCCAGTCAGAGCTACACAGTGAGACCCTGTCTCAAACCAAACAAACAAAAACTTCATAATGTTTAGTTTCTTTTCCACCTGAATTTTGCAACCTTGGGGGAAAGGTAAGTTTTGTTCCCAGGCCTTTTGCTAGTATCTGCTGTATAACTGGTGTCCAATTAAGTGAGTTCAACTAACTGACCAACAGAACATTGGCCGGCTCGTGGGCCTCAATTCTGACTTTAAAGCGAACACTGGTAAAGCTCAGGATGCAGGCAGAGCCCCTGTAGCACCATCCCATGAAGTCTCCACAGTGAATTTGCCCACCAGGCACGCCCTACTACTAAGTCATTTCAGGTGGGGGAGGTACATGCCCTTGCTCATACAACCAGTGAATGGTGATATTGGGGTGTGCCCCAGGCATGCCTGCCAGTTCATTTACTGTTCCATTTAACATAGAGATGCCTCTCAGGGCCATCTCCTGGGGCCTGATTTTAAAGCCCAAGAGACCCAAGGAAGTTGGTAGACTACATAGGACCCTCATGTTTTAAGACACCTCTCCATCACCTGACTTGGATTCAACCCCACTCCAGAGGTCAAGGGATCACGGAAGGAGTTTCATGGAAGGAGGTACTCTAGGGTTCTGTAGAGAACAAGGTACTTTACAGAGAAAAGGGTGATCACAGGGCAGGGTGATCATTCCAAGAACTAGTTCAAAGATAAGTTTTAGAATTCAAGCTTGACCTTCTGGACACTGGTCACTAGATGGGACCCTGCCCTTTCTCCTGCCCCTGCCCTGCCCAGCATGGTCAAGCAGAAAAGGCCTAGGCTTTTCATTAGGGGATAGTCTCTGGGATTCAAGAGGTGACCAGATTCTAATCTCAAGAGAAAACCACATCTTAATGTCATCATAAATGGAGACTAATACCATCCATGCTCTCAAGCCCCAAGCCATGGGCTCTGAGCTGCAACAGGTGCCTGGGAGCCAACAACACCCTCCATCTGGGAGCACACACTGGCCTATTCATATGGACTTGACCCTCCGAAGAGTAGAGCCCATTGGACTTCTTTCATTTATCTTCACACTGCCCTGTAAGGGTCACAAGCTGGCATTGCCACCTTCCTTCTAGGGATGACATAATCCCCTTTGGAGACTGAGACCGAGTCAAGTCCCAGGATCACCCAGAAGGTTCCAATGGAAAGGAAGCAATCTGAGGGACTTAGCATCCATGCTTGCCTGCTTTTTGCATACGATTATGATGCGGGGACACATACACACATGCATACACACAATACATGCACATACACAAGTGTGTGCTCTGTGTATCACTCCTCTGAGCGTCTGAATCCTTAGGTTAATACTAAAAAGACAAACCTCTGCAGGTTGGAGAGATGGCACAGGGGTTAAGAGAACTTGCTGCTCTTGCAGAGGACCTGGGTTCAGTTCCCAGAACCTATATCAGGTGGTTGTATACCACCTGTAACTCCAGCTCAATGGGATCAGAAGCTGTTTTCTGGTTTCTGAAGGTACCCACATGCATGTGGTGCATACATACATACTCAGGCTCACATGCATATACATAAAATAATCCAAAACACTGCATATCTTCATAAAAACATTCACAGCATCATTATTTATGATACATAGCCCTAGATATTTATCAGCTGCTGGATAGAGTAAAATGTGGTGTATTTTTACAATGAAACATTCAGCAGCAAAATTAAGAAATAAATTTTGATACATACTACTACAATATTATTGAAATTTGAAGATATTATGCTAAGGGGAAAACCCTACCTTGAATGATTGTATTTATACAAAATGGACAGGAGAGGGAATCTTCAAGACAGAAAGGAGCTCTGTGGCTGTCTGAGCCTGACAGGAAGGGGGAAATGTCAGCTGACCACTAAGGGACACAGTTTCTTTTGAAGTGACAAAAATATTCTAAAGTGACTGTGCTCCATAGGTTTGTGACTATAGTAAGATCACCATGCTGAACACGTGATCTGTAGGTCATGTGAGTTATATCTGAATAAAATGTTAAGAAATTGTTTTAGTTAGGGTTTCAATTTCTATGGGGAAACACTATGACCAAAAGCAACGTGGGGAGGAAAAGGTTAATGTCAGCCTACAGTTCCACATTCCAGTCCATCACTGAGAGGAGTCAGGGCCGGCACTGGAGTAGAAGACATGGAAGAATGCTGCTACAGGATGTCTCTCTGTGGCTTGCCTGGTCCACTTTCTAAAACAGTTCAGGGCCACCTGCTCAGAGGTAGCACCACCCACACCCAACATTACCTAAAAATATGTTCTACAGAGGTGCCGACAAACAATCTGAATGATACATTTTTCTCAGTCAAGGTTCTTCTTCCCAGAGAACTCCAGCTTGTGTCAAGTTGTCACATAAACAAAACAAAACAAAACAAAATAAAACAACAAAAAACAAACAAACAAAAAACCTAGCCATCACAGAAATTCAGTGGGATCTTAACCCAGTGATGAGGTTAGTTGAAGGTGAGGTCTATTGTGCTCTGGTAAGTTCAGGTCTCTCCCACAGAGTGTAGGGACAGCCAATGGGAAGACCATAGATAGAAGAGAAGGGTCCAGGACAAGTTTCACCTCTTTGTACAGGTCCTGTTAAAGGCTGTGTTGCTTGCTTTGCTGTAGTGCTCCCTAGGATGTTCCCCCTAAGGTTTATCATCTTTTACATGCAAGCTTCTGGTTCATTTAAATGGTAGACTGGGGATCCAGATAGGTTTGTTTGTTTTGCCAAACAGTAAGGCGGTTACCAAACGAGGCATTCTTACCGTGAGACTAAATTGGGCTTGGGGCATCTTGATTCTTTCCGAAATGAAACTTAAAAATGTGTGTGAGCAAACATGCTTGCTTTTCTAGGGGATGGGCTCATACTTTCATCAGATTTTCAAGGGGCTTGAGATGGTCTAGAGTTCATAGCCTGCTGCAGACCAGACTGCAGGGCTCTGAGCACCAGGCTTGCATCTGAGCCAGCAGCGCAGCCAGGCTGTTCCAGCCACACTTATCACTCCCAGCGACAGACAGCTGTGCCAGGTTCGGTTCTCAGTGTTCCCAGTGTGCTAAGGACAGCAGTGACTCTCATGGGCTTCCCGTTGGACCGCTAACACAGAAGGGTTCTCATCCCTGGCCATCGGGTCAATGCAGCTGAAAAACCATGTTAGCTGACAACACTTGGATTCTTTCTGTCCCAAAGACTTTGAGAAGGTTTAAGTCCAACACAGAAAAAACTGCAAACCAAAGCACCATTACAAAGAAAGTGCTGGGTCCATCT